TTGCAAAATTGTTGTTGTTGTTGTTGATTGGCTACACATCCGAACACTCACGGTTGGCTTCACGACAAAATCTGCAACCCCCCACCACATTTTGCAGGCGCTGGTGGTACAAGCCAAGGAGTCGCAAGCATGGCTTCGTTGCCGTTGTTCGCTTCATGTTCATCCGCCCGCTGGAGGACGGTCTCAGCGAAGAGGACCAGAAGAATACAGGCAATGCCGTAAGCGTTGCTCGGAAGTGCAAGGCCTGCTTGAGAAGGGACAGCTGCAGCTTGAGCTCACCTGGTTGTGCTCTGACCAGGTAGAGAAATTGCTAGAGCTGACACCTTCGAAGGCAAACCTTGGGAATGCAGAATGCAGAAATTCGATATGGCCCTAGACATCAACTTCCTCTGCGCTGCCCAGGAAGTGGCCGGCTTGTTCCAGCTGAGCAAGCATGCAGCTGGGAAGCCCTTGAAGGTTGTTTTGGATTGCTGCCGCAAAGTGTGCGCCTCTCTGAGCCGCAGGGTGATGCACTTGGCAACCCAGTAGCATCCGTGAAGCGTACACGCCCAAGTCAAGAGTGCGTGCACGCGAAACCTAATGAATCACATGCTTTGTGTTGTTTTGCTAGTTCGATGCAGGTGATAACCTTGCTTTGGTTCTGCATACCTCCGGTACGACGAAAAAGCCGAAAATCGTGCCGCTGACGCGAGGAACCTAGGGTGAAAAGCAGTGCAGAATACTTCCCTTGTGTAGAGCAGCATGGTGATCCAGGCACGCGAACATTGCCAGTGGTGCAATGTGCATAGCTTCGACAGCCAGGGGCTTACAGTAAAATGTGGAGACTTGAATCTGTTGTTGCTGCCTTCCACAAGGGTGGTGTTCGCTGCTTTCAGGTTGAGCTCAAGCATGCCTGGAGCATAGTCGACAGAGTTCTGTTCATCCATCTGGACTTTGAGAAGTTCTGCAGTTGTCTGCAATTAGTAGCTGCAGGAGCATATTTGCCTGAACACAATGCCGCTGCAGCCTCAAAGGGCCGATTTGCCGACACCCACATTTTATGTTCTGCATCACTGGCTGAATATGCTGCTTCAGTCTGAGGCTTTTCCACATTCATGGATTGATTGTTAACGCTGGATCCTGATACTTTCGGATGCTTATCGTTTAGATGCGAGCGGTCCAAACCTCCGAGGTCTTGGCTTCGGCGATCGCAGGATCTCAGGTTCGCCCCCAACATCTCTGAGGCATACTGTTGATGGCCCAGCTTGTGTCAGAGGTGGTGTGCCTGCCTGGTGTCTTCCAGGCCCGTGCAGCCCGATGACGTCTAGGGAAGATCAGGGGCAGCCTGCAGGTACAAAACTTTCATGCAGCCCTGATCTCTCAACCAGAGCCGAATTGGTATTCTGCTGTTTCTTCGCAGCAGTCGGCTTTGAGGGTCCTTGGATTTTGTCTGCGCCACTGCTGCCTCAAAGGTTCCCACTATGCATCTGCAGATTCTTCAGTTTGCAGAGGAAGTCGCGAAAGAGAAGGCACGTTCTGAAGTCCATGCAACTTCTGCATGCTCAAAATGTCTTGACAGGGTAAGCCACCGGAGAACAAGCTCCAGCTCATCCGAAACTGTGGCAGCCTCGCTTCGATACAGCCTCATGAGCTTGCAAGCGGGTGCTGTAGCACTCCATGACATGCTGGAATGCGAGGTTCTGCCGCATTGGTCCCGACTGTGGCCGCTGCGATGGAGGAAGTGTTGAAGGCCAAGCAATAATCGTCCACATGCAAGCAGGGCTAGGGGTCAGATGAGCGGTCCCCGACAGGTTCATGTGATGCCCACATATGCCATGACAGAGCTGCTCCCTGAGACGAGACACTTGTCGCTTTGTTGGACTGACATCATCTCATATTAAAGCGAACTTGACAGGTCCATGCCCATTGCCTCCAACCCCCGATGTGGGAAGCGCAAACTTCGCTCGGTGGGGATGAAGGCGGTCACTAATCGGCTGTGCGTGGCTTGTCCAACCATGCTAAACGCCTGCATCTTGTGGCAAGGCCGGACCCAACATGGGCATCATGAATGGGCACCCTGCCCGGAGCCTCAGTATTCAGTTTGCATCATTCGGTAACAGGTGCTTCGTGCACTTGGCAGGACGGCACGTTCCTCAACGTCGGTGAAGAGGGAGAGGCGGCGATGAGTGTACGTTCGAGCCGCGGGGAGCACCATGCAATTCTCTGTTATCAACTCTGCAGGTCGTTGTGAAAGGTGGTCCTGTCACAAGCGGCCAGCTGCCGATCATGCTGCGCCCGGCACTGCAGCTGATTGCTGTTACTTCTCTCAGGATATGAGTTCAGGGAGCATATGGATGCGAATCCCAACATTGAAGCCTTCAGTGAAGGCTGGCTAAGGAGCTACAGCTTGCAGCTCTTAGAGTGATTGCTATTCTTGCGTGCTTCATGCGAGATCCGTTTGGAACAGAGGACAGGCGACAAAGGTTGGCTTGATGCTGACGGTTACCTCTATTTGAGTGGACGCTTCAAGGAGTCTTGCCATGTTCTTTCCTGATCAAATCAGAACGGAGAAGGAACTGGGTACTTGGCAACCAGAGATTGCTAGGAGATCATCAACAGAGCTGGGGAGAAGATTTCGCCTTTCGAGGTGCGAGACTTGAATCATGTGGTGGCAGATGTGAGTCTTTTCGCCGCCGCATCGGTGCTTGCTTGGTGCTTGCAGATGCAAGGTGGAAGATGCAATGCGCGCCAACGATGCGCCGGGCACTAGAGTTGTTCAGTCGCACAGACAGCCATCTTGACTTGTCCGGCAAGAGACTGATTTGCTTCTGCGCCGTTATAACGGTGCCGGCGAAAACAGTAGTGTTGGCTTGGGCCGTGGCTGCGGTGATGGGGATTAGAATCATTTATATAGAATCCTCCTGCATCCGGATCGGTGCGCTTGTGTTCTACCATGTCCACTTTCCAGATCTCGGAGCCCGAGGGCCGACGTCAATCGCTACTGCACTTTCTTTTGCGATCTGAGCTGGCAAGTGCAGCATCATCCGACAACCTTTCCGCTAAACGCAATCTGCCGAGAAATCGAAACTCCACAATCAAGTGCCCGTTTCGCTGAACGTGCTTCGCTCCAGGTTTAAAGACTGCATCGCCTTCGCTGTTCCGCACAAGTCCTTGGGGGAAGTTGTAGGCGCTTCCGTCTTTCACCAAGCTCTGTGCAATCGTCCGCTGTGTGGGTTCTTGGCCGGAGGCATCGCTGCGGTTTTGAAGGATGGGAAGTCGCCACGGGCTTTGTAGTGTTCTCTCGCCAGTAGACTTGCAGCTTTCTTGTTGCCCTGAGAAGAGAGGTTGACCATCAAAGAGCTTAGAAGCTGGTGCAACAAATGCCTGGTCCTCAGTGCATTCGTCCAACATCGTGACAACTCACAGTTTCATGAGACATATGTGCGCCAGGTGATAAGCTACAAGCGAAATGGATTCCTGAAATGCTGGCTCCGACCTAAAAAAGCTCGCAAGCCTTGTATGGACAGTAGCTAACAGCTATTAACAGCTATTAGTTATCACGAGGTCACGATGCCGACCATTCCTAAAGGTCCGACAGGGAAGCCTGCAAGGCGGCAGTCCTGTGCAGTAAACTTCGAGCATGTGGTGCTTTCCTGCCTGCAACAGGATAAACTTGGCCAAGAAGTTGGACTTAGACCCCCTTGAAGGTGTGCCGAAGGAGCTGCGCTTGAAATTGGTGCTTTCCTGCCTGATGGGCTTTGAGCTATTGTTCAGCGCCTGCTTTGCAAGTCGATGAGCTGCCAACCTAGCCCCCATTCTCGGACAACGTGACGGAGCTTCCACTGCTCTTGAAAGGACTTGGATCATCCAGGCATTTCCGGATAATCTGAGACACTCCCTGACCTTTACCGGGCGAAATGCTTGGTGTTGGGAGAAAATATTTGTTTGGCTAGACCTGGATACCGAGCATCTGCCGTGCCTGGTCGTTCCGTTCGGAAAATTGATTCAAGACCTGTGATATCCGGTCATGCAGTAGCTGCCTGTCATGAGTTCAAGCAGATAGCAGGTTTTGGCTGTCGTTTTACAGCGGCTCAATTTCGCATGCACGACATGTGGGCTCCGAGTTCAGCAACAGGGCAGCATCTGATTAGCATCGTCTGTGGCGTTCTGCAATGCGCAGTGGCAGCTGCGATGGAGTACTGGCACAACTCTCTGCCTAACTGTGCCGCGGAAGTCCCTGGGTCAAGGCAGAAATCCGCATAGCCTATCATAGCCTGCCAAGGCATGAAGCACATACAGCAGCAGCTGCAGGCTTGTCTGCGACCGAGAACAGTTCTGCACTATTTGGAAGCCTTTTGAGGAAGTTCAAGCTTCCATGGGTGCCGCCAAAGTTCGCTCTGAAGGGGAGGCTCCACGGAAGACTTCGTTGACCATGTGGCCAAGTGGCCATGCGTAGCTTGGCATGCTTTCTCGTCTATTCGTCTCGAGTCGGCTTTTGCAGGTGGCAGCTTGGCAGGCCATCTTTGCAGATGCCCGGGAGGCAGAGGAATGAACAACCCTGTAACTTGATGCTGGATTATTAAGATTATGTTACATGCTGCATCGACGGCCTGAATGTAAAATCCGACGGAAGCCCGGATAGTGGAAAGTTTTGCCTCTACCCAACCCCCTTGTGCTTTACAGCATGGCCCTTGGGCCCTTGGACAAGGCGAGCGAAAGAGTGGCAAAGAAACATGCTGCTCAGAAGGCACTCAAAGCCCCACTAAGTCGGCTTTTTGGACATAGGCCTGCCTGGCCTGTCCAGGTCCAGAAGCAGGAGCTGGAACTTGAAGCAAAGCACCTCCAGGAACTGCTGGAGGCCTGCGCTGGCATTTCCGCGATAAGGCAGGTCCTGTCTCCCCCCACATCCCAGGATGTCAGTGAAGAGATCAAGAAACTCCATACCGTGCAGCCTGGCGCCTGGCTTCTTCACAAAGCTGCTCAAGCATTGACCCCGCACAGCCATCGCAATTTGGCAGTCTAGTCTAGTCTGTCTGGCGGTGAAGACTTCTCTCGACTTGAAATGTGGCATCGTGACGTTGCCATGTTTCACCAGAGGGGAGACCAAGAATTCCTGCTTCAAGCAAGGGAGAGAAGAGCAACCGGAGCCAGAGGAACTCTCACGAATGGTATGTGGGATAGAAGGGGTGCAACGACAGGCGTGCCCATTGGGATTATGTAATTCCGTGGTCAGCCCTTGCCCATGCATTGTGTGCTGCGGGGTTGGGGTCCTTCTCGCTGTGGGCGGCGAAAGCTTCGACTGAGCAAGTCCCCAGGCCCACAACGCAAAGCGACAAAAAGCACACCGCCTGTGTGTTTCTTTGCTGTTTGTTCGGGTCCTCCCTCAGCAGGCGGCGGAAGTCAGTGAGTGAAAGAGTCCTGGTGTCCGCGAATGCTCAGCAAAACAAACCCTCCCCGCCCATGTCTTTTTTGCTGTGTACTCGGGCCTTACTTAAGCTCGGCAGGGGGTGTGCGTTTGAGTGAGTACCTGGGCTCGCCAACGACAAAGCAAAATACAACGCCGTCCGTGTTGCTTGTCAGGGAGCTGGGAGTGAGCTTTTTGGCCGCGAACACTCTGGTCTGAGAGGGGCTTTTTGTTGCTCGGTGTTCGGTTACCAGATCACGAAAGACTTTAAAGATAGGAGATGGATCAAGCAGGACACTGTAATTTACAGTGGTCGTCCCGAAAATTTCCCTGGTGCTCGTACTCCTTAAGGCTCCCTGTGGTTCGCCGGTACTTTGGGAGATACCTGTTCGCATTTTCGTTTTGCAAGTGCGCAGGGTTGAGTCCCCAACCCTTCTGCTTTCTCTAACCCTCAATGCGAACATGATGCAGCAAAACACTTTCACGTGGTAGCCGAGAGAGACCTTGACATGTGTTCATCTTACATCAGGGGGCTCCCCAAACCCCTCCTGCGACCATGGCACTCGAAGCATTACTATGCCTACTATGCCTGGAATCGACATGCAACAGAACCCGTGTTTGTGCACTCGTGCGGCTCTTGCGGCGTAGAGGCCTCACAATCGTGCACTGAAACGAAACGCGGCGTGCAAAAACCCTTGTCATTGCCGACGATAGCTAACCAGTCCGAAGGGCCAAAACCCTTGTCACTGCCGGCGATAGCCAACCAGTCCGAAGGGCAAAAACCCTTGTCATGCCAACCAGTCTGAAGGGCAAAAACCCTTGCTTGTCATTGCCGACGATAGCCAACCAGTCCGAAGGGCAAAAACCCTGGTCATTGCCGACGACAGCCAACCAGTCCGAAGGGCCAAAACCTTTGTCATTGCCGACGATAGCCAACCAGTCCGAAGGGCAAAACCCTTGCTTGTCATTGCCGACCATAGCCAACCAGTCCGAAGGGCCAAAACCCTTGTCATTGCCGACGATAGCCAACCAGTCCGAAGGGCAAAAACCCTGGTCATTGCCGACGATAGCCAACCAGTCCGCAGGGCCACAAAGCCTTTGTCATTGCCGACGATAGCCAACCGGTCCGAAGGGCGGAAGTATGCGGTTTTCGCGAAGTGCTTGCTTGGGCTCAGAGCCGGCCTTGAGCCTTGGGCTCCCACGTCGCTGCCATCCGAGTTTTGCAAACCCGGGCCGGCGCCGCGCTTTTTGTTGACATTGTATGATACGTGTTGATGGCAGCAAAGCAAAGCCAGGTCCTGGTTGAATTGCTTTGAACCTGTGCTACCAGGAGCGGACTGGAAGGGGAACGGTTGCAAGCAACTGAGCGCAGAAGTCTCAGATGTACTTCATTGGCGACGTGCCACAAGCTTGGACCACGGAAGGTGTAAGGGGCGAGCTGGCCAGGATCGAGGACATTTCCGAAAGAAGTCCTCAATGTTCTGACAAAAACCTAGCCCTGGCAGGCTCACGGACGGCATGGGCAGCTTGAAGCAGAGCTGGCACCCATCCGAGTACTCTCTTGGACAAGCCGTATGAGCAGCACCGCCGAGCACAGGTATGTGCCAGGCGGCGTGTCGAGGAGCTGCGATCGGATCCCAGGGCACGACAGCAATCAGTCAAGCCTGTTCAATGGAACACTAGCAGACTGGCATTCCCGTGCCTTGTCTCAGGAATGGAATGCGAGTCTGAACGACGGAGGTGTTGCAAATTGGTGGTCTGGGGCCTAGCTGTGGTAGGGCCTGGTCGGGCGTTCAAAGCAGGCAAGGCTTCTATTGACTTGCGTGGACAGGCTGACCTGCCACCAGCCGAGCAGCGAACCAGCGGTCGCTACTGACCGTGCGCTGACAGAAACAAAATGCAGGGTGTGGTGCGCAGTGTTGGTCTCTGTGCCACTCCTAGTCAGTCCTGCTACTCACGATGAGTTCCTCATCAGTAACAGTGAGAGACAAGAAGAGATGATGTCATTTGGAATCTATCACAGCAGGAGATCGGGTTGACAATTGTACAGGAGTCACATGACAGAAGGGTGGAATTTCTGGCGAAGTGGTGCTGGCGTTCTCTCAGACTTGCCATAGGCCAGTTCGTTTGCCATCTTTGCATCTCTACGCTACTGGTACGCATCGGGCAACTGTGTAGCATCTGGCTGAGAAGCATGCAAATCATGCGGCCAATCGCAGGATACTTGCATGTGCCGGGCTAAGGAAGCGGTTGTAACATGTTGCAACCCTTTTGCGCAACGCACGGCATGAATCGTGCATTGCCACATCTCCATTGCAGTGGCACGTACTTTTTGAGACGATGATTAATGAAACGTGGTTTGTGACAGTTCAGTACCAAGTACCGAGTATCATGACACTGCGATGACGGACGGGGTGCTTGCTGGCGAGCATATCGTTGTGATGCTACACCTGATTTGAGGGTGGAGTTGACCAGATTTGCCATGATTTGCCTGTCGCATGCACTCTAGTGGCTTAGGCAGCTTCTGGTCTCTGTTTATCTTTTTTGGCTGCTCGGAGTGGGTTAGGCCGCTCATGCTCTCCGTACTGTGTGATGTACCGGTGTGAGACGAATTGGTGTTGGTGGCTCATGTCCGCGACGGTCGGTAAGCGATGAATATCGATGAATGTGACACGCTTGGACGTTGCTTTCAGAAGTTCTGTAAGATGAAAATGTGTTCATTACCAGGCTCGTCTCTCTGCCTTGCGCAGCCTATAGTGCATCCCGCGCTGGCGTTGGCTGAGTCACGTGGTGCATGGGTCTGGAAGTTGTGAGTTTCAGGGTTTTCCGGGTCAGTTTCGGTGTTGAGTTTCGGGTCTCGGTTTCGGGTCCGGCCCTGGGCCGGCATCCTGAAACTGACCTCCGCCCGATCCGACACTGACCCCCGCCGATCCGAAACTCAGCCCCGAAACTCACAGATCCGAAACTACCCCCATGCCGATCCGAAACTAGAACCCCGAAACTAGGGGGTGCCCGCATGGGTCTGGGGGTGCCGGCCTCCGTCTGTCCTCTTTATCCACTGGTGCACGTGAGACAGAAGCTCCTGTTATTCGGAGTCTGCAGAGTCTTTCGATTAAAGCTTCTGATTCTTGCGGGCTTTGGGTTCCAAGATGTTCCAAGCCAGGTGCTCAGCATCGTGAGCTGCAGCTTCAACAGTGCTGCTCATACCACGCTGTCTGCAATGGGCTCAGGAAACATTCGGCACCAACACTATGCATGGGAGCGCATCTTCAGTGATTGAATGGTTGATTCGCTAGTCTCAGCTGCGGCAGGTGCAGGTCAAGTGCTCTTTGAATCTAGGTCTGGGTAATTAATGTCCGCCGATTTCCCGATCACCTCCTGTCCTGGCTCTGTTTGTATGTGGCTTTGGAAACCTGTCCAAGATTCCAAGATGTTCCAAGCATGCCTGTCAAAAAGCGGCTCTTGCAGCCACGCCCAGAACCATTCCAACACTATTCCAACGAACATCCCGAGAACTGAATAGACTTGAAACCTGCAACCTCGACCCTACAAAAGGCACTTGATTCCTTGCACCCTGAGCGCCTGAACCCTAAAACCCAACACAAAGGCAAGTCAAAGCGCCCTGTCTAACCTCCCAGTAGGTAATATGACGGCTGCCAAGCAGGTCACCGGGGAGCAGCAGGTCCGAAGCTTTGCGGCGCAGGGCCCCTACTTCGCTTGCAAAAGCGAGTCTGGCACGAGATCATGTGCGCGTGTGCCAACATGACCAGGATTCCAGCCGGATGGAACGTGTTTCTCCCCAACTTCGGGCTGCCAAAGCTATCACGCAGGGCGCCCTTGGACAGGTGCCTGCTTTGCTGTGCTTCTCGCTGAAGGTTTCAATCTGCCAATATGTTTGAATTCTCAGTAGTTCCAAACTGCTCTTACTCAGGGAGGCATCCAATGTGCAGCCTTCCTTCTACGGACGTGCTGCAGCCTTGAGACGTGAGCATCTTGCGGGAGGATTGAATCCGGAGTTCTTCAGCATCCACCGGTGTTGCTTTCTTTCAGTAGTCGCCAAGGAGGCCTTTGCAGCACTCTGGTCGCCTGGTCTTGCTAGTTACTCGTATTATCAACATGGAACATACACGAGGTAGGAGGCAAGCTTGGGCCTCCGAACACTTATTGCGCTGACTTTGAGAGGCTTCTGCCCATGGCTCTCAAGTCTCTACTGCGTATGATACATGTGCGAACTGAAGCTTAGCAGATCAAGCGAGGTCGTGATGGAGCCTGGTTCCACAAACGAGACGAGGTCCATCCCAGAGGTTAGTTGGGCCGCAAAGAGCCTCTGTCGCGCATGCGTGATGGACATGTTCTGCTGCAGGAGCCTTGCTTGTGGTGAGTTGGCAGCAACTCCGCAGGTCGTTGGGGGGGTACATGTGCAGCTTGGCTGTGCGACATGCTTTGGCTAGGTTGAGAGTTTGGCCCTCTTGGTTGAGCGGGGCCTGTGCACCTTTCGGCAAAAGGCCGCGACATGGCTCTCTCAGCCGGTGTGACAGCATGCAACTGTTGTGGAGGCTACAAACGCATTCAACGCGGGCTACAAAGCACTTCTTGTTTCCAACACCATCAGTGGCTTGGCCAAGGCTCCTCGTTTATGTTCGTCCGGATGCGTGTGAGTCAGAACCGGGTAGTTTCCAAAGGTCGGACTCCTCCCCGACACTACTGCCGAAACAGGCAAAACGCTTTGTGGACACTGCACACTGCAAACCATGCTGCGCCAGCGGTGTGTGTCCAAACGCTTTTTTTGCAACAATCTTACACGCTTGGATGCATGCTTGTTGACCTGCAAAGGGGGAGCGAACCAACGTGCGAACACGGCTGTGCGGTGTACGTTTCACAGCCGAGCCTTACTCCCGAAACTCCTGACTCGAAGGGTGGCCGACACACCCACCAGTTGGATAATTACACCTTCACAGGGCCAGGGTCCAAGAAGCCTTGGCACAGACGTTGGTTGTTCTCTGTCATTAACGCGAAGCTTTCATTCGAGGGTGTCTCTTAAGCTTCGGAACTGGAACCCGAGACGACCTAGGAGGTTAACTAGCAGAATCTGTCGAAGTGTACTGTTCGCAAAATTTGGCGTATTACCTGCACTCCACACTTCGCTTCCTTATGCCGCTGATAGCTCGAAGGTTCCCGACATGACGGCCGGGAGTGAGGTGGATGACCGAGCAGTCGAAATCCCGGCCAGGATGCCTAATATGCAGAATGGCTACATGAAGATGCGCCAGGCAGTGTCTGCATGTGTCTACAGGAGCAGAATACGAGCCTTTCAGGGCATCCATGATCGTGCCGAGGCATGGTCCATTGATCTTTCTGATGGACAGGCACTTCTGGTTTGTCGGAGCTTCTACATTCTAGACGTAGATTCTGGCTGGGCGAAAAGTGGCAGGCGCTGCGGAACTGGATCTTAGGAGATGCCAGGCTTGTGATTCAGGCGGTGACTATCCAATCGCACACAACTTTGAGGGGTCAAACGCACCTGTACAAGCAGGTCAGCGACTCACCAAGACGGCCAAACATAGGCAAGGCAGCCTGGATGAAAGAATCCGCACTTGGAATCTTGCAGAGGTGCTGATATTCAAGTGCCTTTTCGAGGTCCATTCCAAGAAGATGTATTCGGTTTGCGGCAGGTCAGCGGGCAAATGGTTTGTGGTGTGAAGCATTGAAGCATCACTCCTAAACGCCTCGCGTCGTCCGCCTAGGCCCGCTCGCAGGTGCAGTAAGACGACAAATGTGGACGCAGGATGCGAGTATCGGGGCGAGAGGGTCGGGCGCAGGGTTGCGGGAGCGGACCTGGCTGCCGGCCGCGTTTTTTTGGAGCAAGTCAGGTTCCCAGAAGGGGAAAGGGGGAACCTCTGACTGCTTCAGCCAAATCCGACGCGAATGTAGCTACGATCCTTCCTGGCTTCGGAATGCATTTGTGACATTTGTGAGTGCACGGTCCTGGCATGCAACGATTGCGTGGCACTGATTGTGTACGTAAGACAAGCACAGCTGAGTACATCTGCAGGTGTTCTCCAAATGAGAGCTTTGGAGCCGGACTGGGAGTTGTTTCGCACCTCATAAAACATGCAATGCAAGCTGGACAAAGTTCTCCGCCTATCCGTTGCTGCAGATGCTGGGAAGTGCCTGACTTGAAAAGCATGCTCATGGCAGAAACCTTGTTCACTTGAATGAGGCAGGGAATGATCAAGCCTTCCACGAGATAACTCAGTGCCAAAATGAGATGGCATCCATTGTCCGATCGTCGCTCTTGGCTCTTGTTTGGAGCATGTAGAATCGTAGAACTGTAAGACACAATGCAGAGAAGCATGCGCATATACACGGAGGATTATTGCTGCGGCACCCAATATTCCCGTAGTGCACACACTGTGTACGACGTTCTCAGACTTGATTGGTCGACTTGGAGGGCGCACTTTAGGAAAGCACTGGAGCCCTCGATTTATGTTCCATATCGGGCGCTGTCTTGCATGACCTGAGCTCACCTAGCGTGGCATCTGCGGCTAAGACATGCCAAGACCAATTGCATGGCTCAGCCTTTCCTGTACGCACATGAACGTGGCAGCACTTCTGTTATTCGTGGGCAGCATCGCCTTTTGATCCATGAGCTCATGGCGAAGTTGCCTCTGGTACAGGCGACTGCAATGGAGTTTCACTGTGTTACCTGACGGCCACGGTATGTGTCATTTCGCAGAATTGGAGGCGGATCTCGAAGTCAGGGACTGGTGGGAACCATCGCGCGTTCAAGAGGCATCCAACTTTGGAACCCGCAAACCAGCACAGGGTGGCCAGGCGGCCAATTTCTTCTTTTTGTTTGAATCCTCTGATACATGCTGCCGTGAGCTATGCCCGCTTGTCGCGGCGATGCTTCGCGGCTTTCGAGCTACTGCGGCAGGTTGGGTGTACGCCTGTGTGTTCTGTAGTTGACACACGTCGAAGGCACTCTCTCGCCAGCCGCGCTTTGTCCGCCAAAGTCTCAGTTGTGTGGCAGTCTATTTCGCATGAAAACGCATATGACACGTGGCGTAACGAACGGGTCATGCTCCACCGCCAGCCATGGTCATTCTGGTAACAGGCCCTGTCCCGACCTGTCAAGAGTCAGCAACGACTCTTCTCTGGATCGGCGAATTTGCTTCTACTCCGAGGTCCTGATGTCGCCAGTCTGAAGAGGACACCCCCCGCCTGCTGCGGACAGTGCGTTTGTCTCTGGTTGCAGGACAGTTCTCTGCACTGTCATCCCTAGTTTGTGAGCCTTGCTATGTCGCTGACAGAGAACAATCCAGGTGCAAAATTGTTCACCTCTGTTCTGAAGGTACTTTTTGGGCCATGTTTTGCCCACTTGCTCCGGTGACGAGGCAACCCCTCGGTGCACCAGCTTGTGCAGCAGTCGAATGAACTGGCACAGCAGGCAGTGAGTGACGCGGGTGCATCCGCGGTGCGACCTGCCTCAGTCTTGTCTGACCTGTGTAAGAGCCTGTGCCTGCAGCATCTGCGCACGCTAGCGATCTCCATGCCAGGTAGTCTGCACAATCTGGGCTGCGTTATGTGCTTCTGCTGCAGTTATACGTTTGTCGAACTGGTTCGAGTCCCTACATCACCAATATCACCACATGCATTTCTTTCTGTTTCTGCAAGAAGTGCGCAACGAGGATCAACGAGGTGTAGGCGATACCGAACAGTGCAGATGTACATCTCGGCTTCCACAACACTTAGCTTTTAATCAGGGTCTCGACACACCCCTGAACAGGGGGAAACATTTGTCGGCACCTGTCAAGACTTGGGTCGAGACAGAACATGCTGCACCAGCTGCAATGTGGTGCGAAACCTGCGTCGAGTTTTGGGCGAAGTCGATTTATGGCCATGTTTCTGTAAAAACTGAAGAATAAGCTCCGCAGGCTTGGGAAAAAAGAAAGTGTAATCAAGCTCACCCCTGCGCTTGCCTGCATAAACCTTTAGCTCAGCATGCAGGCTTCCCTCCCCCCACCCACCCACCCACCCACC